GCCTTGAATTCCTTTCAAGTTAATTTTGTAAGTTGTGTAAGATAGGAGTCCACTTTCATTCTTTTGCATGAAAATATTCAGTTTTCCCAACACCATTTATTGAAGAGACTACCTTTTCCTCAATAAGTATTTTGCCTCTCTGGTTGGGTTTAAATCTAGCAATTTACTATTGCTTTCTCTATATTTAAATTGTTCATTCTTTTCAATTTTTTCTTTCCTTTATCAACCTTCTTTACACTGAATATTTTTTATGATTCCATTTTTCTCCTATATTGGCATCTTAACCATACCTCTGTGTTTGTTTGCTTTTAGTGATTTTTCTAAGGCATTGTTTTCCAAACTGCATTCCTTGGGTCAACGTCACCTGGGAACTGTGAGAAAAGCAAATTCTTGTTCCCCATCCAAGATCTGTTGAATTTAAAGCTCTAGGGATGGGGCTCAGCTGTCAGTGGTCTGTGAGGTTTCTCAGGTGATTCTGATAAAGCTGCAATTGGAGAAACATAGTTTTAGACTTCTGGTGTACTACATCATTAGCTCATCACAGTATACTTCAGACATGTTATACCACTTCATGTACTTTCAGTATCTCTGCATCTTTTTGGCTTTTGTTCTTACTCATCTTACTCCCAAATATGCTATAAACTTCCTAATATATTGTTATTGCTTTTATTTTAAACATAAATTATATTTTTAAGAGATAAAAATGAGACAAAATATACATCATATTTATTTACAGATTCACTATTTTGGGTTGTTTTTTTTTCATTCTTTTAGGTTAGATTCAAATTTTCCTGAGTTCATTCTCCTTGCTAAACAATTTTTTTTTTAATATAGTTTATAGTGCTGGTTTTCTGGCAATGAATTCTCTCACCTTTTATTTGGGAAGTTTGTATTCCGCCTTCACTTTGGAAAGTTGATGTAGATTTTTCTTGATATAGAGCTGCCTGGGGCCAGTTGGGGGGCACATGGCCGTGATGGTGGAGGCGGAGGTCGGCTCAGCCCGGCAGTCTGAGGAACTGCTTGTGCATCAGAGCCAAGTGCCTGTGGTCCATTTTTGGGTGCCATGGGCTCCACAGTGTGATCAAATGAAAGATGTGATGGCACAGTTAGCTAAAGAACACTCAAGTTTAATTTGTGAAATTGGAAGCTGAAGGTCTTCCTAAAGTATCAAAAAAATATGAAATTAGTTCTGTTCCCACCTTTCTGTTTTTCAAGAATTCTCAAAAAGTTGACCGTTTAGATAGTGCGCAAGACCCAGGGTTGACCAAAAAAAGTTCAACATCCGTGGGCTCCTTCCCACCCAGTGGTGATGAGCACCCCAAAGAAGACCTCAACCTTCGCATAATGAAATTCATTCATATGGCCCCTGCATGATGTTTACTTAGGAAAGGGACTCCGGCAGAAGCCTCGCTGTGGTTTCAGCAAGCAGGTGAGAAGAAGAATTTTCAGTGTAGCAGTTTTAGTGTCTGCTCCGGTGAAGATGTTTGCCAGGGCCTCAAAACCTATCCCCATGACCTCCTGCCTATCCCAAACTCTTTATTTCTGGCAGCTCATAGGAGGACTTGACATAGTGAAGGAGCTGGAAGCATCTGAAGAACTAGATGCAATTTGCCCCAAAGCTCCCAAATTAGAGGGAAGTCTCAAAGTACTGACAAATGACGCTTTTGTGATGTGCTTTATGAAAGGAAACAAACAGGAGGCTAAATATGGATTTAGCAAACAAATTCTGGAAATATTGAATAGTAGTGGTGTTGAAAATGAGACATTTGATATGTTGGAGGATGAAGAAGTTTGGCAAGGATTGAAAAGTACTCCAGTTGCCAGGCCAAGTTACCCTCAGCTGTATGTGAAAGGGGAGCTTGTTGAAGGGCTGGACATTGTTAGGGAAAGAAAGCAGAAAATTGCTGCCTCCACTGAAAGGAGAAAATTAAGAAATGCTAAATGTGGTATCCAACTAATGCAGGAGATAATGACAGCAGAGCAGCGTATGAGTCAGTCCTCAGGCATGGACGAGGAGGAGAAAAGGCTTCTTCCCCAGCCTCACTCTGGGCCTCCACAAGGCTGTGCTAAATAAATGTGTGCTGTTTTTTGTCCCCCCAAAACAGAACAGAAACGTCTTCAAATTCATTTTTTTTTTTTTAAGAATTTGCCTGGAATAGAATGGGCAATAATTCCTTTTGCTTTTCAGCACTTTGGAGGTATCACTTCATTACCTTCTGAGTTGCATAGTTGTCACAAGTCCATCTTTCATCTTCTGCTAATTTTTTGTACTGTGTCTTTTTCACCTCTGGCTGCTTTTATGTCTTTCTCTTTGTCACTGGCTTTCAGAGTTTTACTGTTGGTTGCCTTATGTGTTTTTTTGTGTGTGTGTTATCCTTGGGGTTCAGTAGACTCTTGGATGCATGTGTTTATATTTTCATTAAATTTGGAAGAAAATTTTGTCAATTATTTCTTAATAGTTTTTTCTTTTTCCATTTTGCTATCTGTCATTGTTGAGAGTACTGTTACATATATTTTAGACTAGTTGATATTGTCCCATAGGTCACTGAGGCTTTATTTATTTTTGTTTTGTTGTTGTTGTCTTAATCTTTTTTCTGCGTACTTTCATTTTGCTAGATTCTAGTGCTGTGTTTGCATTTATTTATTTATGTTTTCTTCTTCAGTACCTAATATTCTGTTAACCCAAGTATATTTATCATTTTAATATTCCATTTAATCATTAGAATTTCCATTTGGGCCTTTAAAAACCTTTTGCTTCTCATCGTATCATGTTGATGCTTATCTTGGAACATAGAAATCATGTTTCTTACCGTTGTTTCAATGACCGTGTCTGATAATTCTATCATTTCTGTCATTGTGGGCCTCTTTCTGTTGACTGATCTTTCTCCCTGTATTGTTTTGCTAGGACTTCCATAACAATATTTCACAGGCTGAGTGGATTAAATAGTAGAAATGTAGTTCCTCACAGTTCTGGGGGCTGGGAGTCTAAGATCAAGATGCCGGCAGGGTTGATTTCCTGGGAGACCTCCTCCTCTTCAGATGACCACCCTCTTATTGCCTCTTTATACGGTCTTTTTTCTGTGCATGTGTGCCTCTCATGTCTGTTTGTGTATTCATATTCCCCTTATTAAGACACTAGTCAGATTGGAACAGCCTTATTTTAATCACATGGATAAATGTCCTATCTCCAAATACAGCTACATTCTAAGGTTCTAGGAGTTAGAGATTCAACATGTGAATCGGGCTGGGGCACAAATTCAGCCCATAACACTCCTAGTTATTGTTCATAGTTTCTTGCTTTATACATTCCTGGTAGTTTTTTGTTGAGTGCCATACATTATGATGTTTAAATGTAAAATGCAAATTTTGATGTATTCTCTTCAATATTGTTGGATTTGTTTCTGGCATAATGTTTTGTTACTTGGGTTTAGTTTGAATTTTTTTCCAAGGCTTGCTTTTAAGCTCTGTTAAGGCAGGTCTGAGCAGCCTTCAATCTCAGGCTGATTTTACCAACATTCACTCTACCTTCTGAAAATAAGGTGGTACCTTTATAGAACACTACCCATTGCCCATGCATTATATATAAATCTTATCATTCTAGCTGTGGGAACATGAATTATTCACAACCTTGTATAAAGGCCGCATTTTGTTTGACTTATTGCTCCCAGACAGTTCTTTACTGAGATTCATGTGACTTTTTTTCCTCACATGAGCAAATCAGTACTCAGCCCAAGACTTAAGGTTACTCCTCTATAGCTCTCCAGAGCTGCTTTCTGTAGTTGTCTCTCCCCTTTCATATTTTTCTCTACAAATTCTAGCTACTTTGGCCTCCACAAATTTTCTTCTTTGTCTCCTCAGCTCAGTGAGACCACTAATCAGTGCTGCCTGCGGCCAGTAGGTTGTCTCCAGGCAATGAGCAGAGACAGTTGCCAACTCACCTTGTTTTTTTTCTCTTTCTCAGGGATCACTGTTCTCTTCTGCCTATTGCTCAGTATCTGAAAACACTTGTTTTTTCTAGTTTTTTTAATGCCAGAGGGTAAATCTAGTCCTCATTACTCAATCATGACTGCAAATGAAAGTTTTATTTTCTCAGTTCTTTGATTTATTTTTCAGGATGAAAAGTTTTAATAAAACCATTTTTCAGTATTTGTTATAAATTTAAATGGATTCACTATCTTTTTTTCAGCACCAATTATTTTCAGACAGTGAGGACATAACTGTAATTTGTCTAAGATATATGAATTGTTAATCATTTTCATGTCCTAGGAAGAATTCCAACACATCAACAAATTTGGAGGAAGATTATTATAAAACATTTGTCATTTCCTGGGATTTATTTAGTCTATATGTATAATTTACCTACTAAAATTTTATGTTAGCAAAAAATAAAACCTGCTTGGCATTTGTTACAATTATTGCAGTGCATAAATGAAAAAGAAAATGTAACCAGATTAATATGCTTTTTATTTCAGTGTGGATGTAAATTACTCACTTAAAATTATCCTTTCAAATTGGTAATAGCTTTTCTTTATCTTCTCATATTCATCACTGTCCATGCAAATTCATGGAATCTTCAGGGAAAAAATGTATGTAAAACAACTATAAGTGAATATTGACATGATCTAGTGTGAATGAACATCTATCAACTGCTGCTCTTGATTTAGCCTGTGTTGTCACTAATGTCATGTAATGAGAAGGCTAAGGCAGACTGTTTACTCTTTGTCTGATAATAAGCAAATATGTGCTCACAGTTACATTTTTTTAATTATCCTGAATTCTAGTATGAATAGGATAAGGTAAATAAAGTATCTTCTGTGGGAGCATTTACATTTGGAAATAACTGAACAACAATTTTCAATAGGCCAAAATTATTTTTAGTTATTCTAATAGCAAGAAATTAACTTTATTAAGTACCTTACACATGCTCATAAAGTATACTTTTTATCATGTTCTGCCAAATTTTCCACCTGATTTTCCATTTTCTTCCTCTCCCTTCCCAGGAAAACAGTTGGTGTTTTTTGCTGTGGACCCAGTTCAATTTCTAAGACTCTTCATAAACTGAGTAACCAAAACAATTCATATGGGACAAGATTTGAATACAATAAAGAATCCTTCAGCTGAGAATTTTTGCCATAAACCAGGACTCTAAAGAAGGAATGAGTGCAATTTCTAAGACTTTGAAATGCAAATGGTTATGTCATTCCAAAGAGTAGCAAGGCTTTCTTATTTATGATTATTTAAAATAGAAATGCAGAGAAGTAGCCAGATGACAGGTCACATTACATGTTTAATCTGGAAACCAAAGTGGCCCTTTGATGTGATTATTCACTTTTCAGTGTTAGAATTAAAACTATTAGATGTGCACTGTTGATTTTTATGGCAGATTCAAGAACTCCCCAGTGAGGAGCTACACTTGCTCACTGTGTGACTGATAGCCTTGCTCCTCTTTAAATTGTTTTTGGTTGAACAAATGCAAGATTGAACAAAATTAAAAATTCATTGAAACTGAGATTATATTTTCTACTTAAGTATAAATAGAGCTGATTTAGAAAAGCTCCGGGCAAACATATTAGATGTTTGAAGATACAGCACAGGACTCTCTATTGATACGGGTACTTTGTGTCAATATCTAATCTTGCTCACTACTGATGTTAATACCTCTATTTGATGTCTGTAGACTTTATGTTGAATGAATCTTTTACAGATGTTGATATAGTATCTATTTTTATATATTTCTCTCTTTTGTTTCCCCCTCTGTCTAGGGAAATCTTTCCTCCCTTGGAATGCATTAAGCACAATGATTTAATCAGTCATTTTCACCCTCAATTTATTTAATCAATTATTGTTGCATAGTAATGAAGAGATATTATTACTATAAATTATAAAGGGATATATAGACTAATAAGTTTTTTTCCCTTTTCAGCATTGTGATCTCTATTATTTTTATTTACTTTTTTTCCCAGCATAGTTTGTCTTAGTTTTTAGCTTCTTAAGGTACTTAGTTTAATTTGCACTTTGAGACCAAAGCACATTGTGCCTGTCCGTGGTTACTGAGATAGATCTCTCTTTTGTCAACATCTTGGTTATGTTGGAGATATTGAAAGTGTACTCACATGTCTAACAGAGAATCTGTATTTTACATCTTACACAAGATGAAATACTTCATTAGTTATTCATTTCTAAGTTCAGAATCAAGCATATTATTGCTGCACCATCTGGCATTCTGGTTCTCAGTAAGGAATTATTGAGTTTAAAGTCATTGTTGGCATTACTCTGTGTGAACCTATCAGTTCCTGTTCCCTGGCCATTATATTCTTGGCTCATAGGAAAAAATTAATTCACCATATTACTTTAAGGCATTTTTTACAGTTTAGTGATTTTGTTTTGTAGACATCTATCAGCTGCTATCAAATATAGCACATTGCTGAAATCAGCACCATGATTTGTGTTGCCTTTATTTAAATTTTGCATGATACAATATAAGTTGATAGATGTTACTGTCGGTTTTGTTTTTTTGTTTTTGTTTTTTGGTGGGGATTTACCAATAGCAGTCAAGCTTGTTAAACCATCCAGCATTGGATGCCCATTAATATATTACTTACAGATATTTCTTTCTCTCTTTGTAATTCTTTCTTCTCCCTTCTGAGGAAGGCTTGTCAGAAAAAGACATGGGAAATGTGCAATGTTCCTGAAGATTTAGCTCTGAAAACATATTTAATAAATAGTACATCTTGACAACACTTTCTAAATTAAAAATAGTTTTCATGTAAACATGTAACAGAAAGAACTAGTAAAAAGAAAGTTAGTAAAGGCTTGATGTGCAATACTAACTCTTTATTGATCATAATTTATTTAAGTGATTATATTAATACACCTAATTTCATTAAACCAGGTGGAAGATTTTTCAAAAGAAGAGTAATCTTTCCAAGTAAGTAGGTCTGCTATTCCAGATGAGCCATTTTGCCTATTTTAAATTCCAGTTAATGTACAAACATTGTGTGAACATAGGTAATTTTTGCTTCTGTAGATAGGGCTTCATCATGCATGTAGATGAGAGCTTTGTTTTGTTCTGAGAGATCCTTTCTCTCTAGCTAATTCTTGTCACACAGATCTTAAACTGTGATTTTGGTGGCAATAAATGTTAAAATTGAAATAATATCCTCTAAATCTCTATAAGTTTACTTTGCCTTCACAAAATACAAAACAGGCAGAGTTTCTTCACCAGATAATGCAAGTTGCAGAAACATCATCTATTAGATTGTGTACTGGCATGAACAGCCATAGGGATTTGTGTTCTGAGGCTATCAGTGTCCCTGGTTAAGGATGCGACTGTGGCAAATTGCTCCGCACTCTGGGATTTCTCATTTGGACCAGATCCACACTCAATTAGTCTTCTTCAGGAAATGTATCTTTTTGAGGACATGATTAAAAAGAAATATTATGGCATATGTACAAAAGATACAGACAATCTTGGGGACCCAAAAAAAATCTCCAAAAGCCAGGACCCCTGTTTTAAGAATCTCTGAACAAAATTGCCATCATTATAGATATTTTTTAAACTGTAACTTTCTTTTCTTTGATTTTTGGAATAAACTATCAATTTTTTGTAGATTATACTAAGAAATTAGCTTAGTGGACAAAGGAAAGTAAATTCTTTTTGCACCCCCTAAAGCAAAGAATCTAAAAGACTCTTTCATCAGTTTTAATCTTCTTGGATCTCCTACCTTATGCAAAACGAAGCTGTGATTTTACATACCAGTAATATTTTTAAAAACATTCATACATGCACTCCCCCCTCCACACACACACACATACACATAAATCTGGGTCTTGGTTTTTTGTGGATTTTTTTTTGTTCAAAAATGACATGATTGACGGTTTTTTATGTCATGACTTTAAATTCCAGTTGGGTGATTTTGATATTACAGACTCTTAAAATAAAAAAATAAAGCAATGTAGATAGACTAAAGCATATTCTGAGTTGATTTACTCCATACTTCCATGTCATTTATATCCTCTCCCAAATCAGTGTTTACCTGGAGCATTCACAGCAGATAATTGATTTAAATTACACTGCGTTGTTAAAGAGGCTTGCTAGGGGCTAAAGACCAGCCATTGTCATCAATAGATAATGCTGGTGCTAAAGGATGTTCCTTATGTTAGAGGGGAAAAAAATTTAAATGGTTAAGAATGGTTAACTCAGCTGAACAGTGCTCTTTCTAACCAAACCAATAAGATACATTTTCACTTGCTGCTCATAAGAAAAGGGAACAAACGGTTCCCTTTTCTTATGCTATCTAGAACACTTTCATAGCGAGTTGTATTAGAGCAGCATTAAATGCTAAAGTTAGGAGCACTGTTATTTTGCAGTTGAGGAAACTAAGGTCCAAAGGAAGGTGGCAACTTGCTTCAAGTCATCCACTGAGTTTGTCATAGAGTTGAAATGAGCTAAGCTTTCCTTACCTCTGCTACGGAGAGGCTCTTTCCACTTCCCCATGAAATATGCATCTAATAAGACACGTCTAAATACTGTTCATTTGAATCTCCATATCAACTCTAGTGCCAGGTGGAAAATAGGTATTTAATGTCAGTTCTAGAATCATAGCAGAAAGCCACACTCTTCTTCCCTATACATGTATCTTCTGATTCTAAAGTTGTTATTCATTTATTTTCCCTACTCAAATCTGTTTTCCTGTATCAGTTTTAAAATATGACAATTGTGCTAAAAAGATTTTGTTCTCTAGAACTCTGCACTAAAAATTTGTAATAGTATGTAGTTTCTAGGAAATACTAATATTGTAATTTTAAATTTAGGTTCATAGACAAAAGTCATGACTTCATCAGCTGCCTAACAACTGAGGGATCTGTTGATATTCAAACAAATGACTGTTGTTTCCTACTTACATGACCATAACATGCCTCTTGTTCAGGACAAGAGTCTTCTTTTTGTAAACTAGTGAGGCAGGAAATAAGTGAAATCAAGCATAATGAGATCTGCATTTCCCTCAACCACTATAGACAATGAGAACTGACTGTTTCCTTCTGTCTAAGTCTCCCCTCCATTACCTCAGCTTCTCTATTCCATTCTGCAGTTCTCGAAGGACAGAGTTGCAAAAGCTAGCTAGATGAAGTTTTCCAAAGAAAAGAAGCAATAGACTTCTGATCCTTGGCAAAGAAAAGTCCACTAAGAGAAAAAAAGAAAAAAAGGCCATGTGAATGATAATGAAATTAGTAGCTAACTAAGTAATGTTGCTTTAGAATAGACTAATAATTGTAATGTAAATACACAGAATTTTTATTTTTCCTTATACAAATTTTATATTTTTGTTTATAGAATCTAAAAATAGATTTCTTCTCTTATTTTACATAATAGCAAAAACACTAGTAATCTTAATGCAGAGAGTTAAACTACAGTTCAAGAATATGTAAGATCAAGGAATGCCTCATGGGAACAAAGGTAGAAGAAAAACACGGAGTCACAGAAAGAAAAATTTTTTAGTACATCAGGATGTCATAATGCCTGCCTTATCATAACTTAATAGATGATCAAATGTGTGGCAAAACTGGCAATTACTCTGGTTTGGGAAAATGTAAAACAATGTGGTGTTTGGTTTGTTTTTAGAGAGAATCTCGTGTTTTCTTTGCCACTAGAATGATGGCAGAAGCTTTGATCAGAATTGTAATCTGTGAGAATTAGAGCTTTGTTGAGCTACTGGTTGACCTAGAGACAACCCAGCCTTTAGATGAGAACCATCACTAAATGCTCTAATATATGTAGCAATGAAGAAGAGGAGGCAGCCATGCACTGATTTAGCTGCACACACCACACATGAACATTTTGTCATTGCAAGGTCATGCTTTTCAGCTTTAATCCTTCCACTCAGGGAATGAAACCGTAATGATTCAGACACAGAAACAGATATTCTCAGTTGTATCATAACAGAGTATCTGTTCACCTGTATCAGCACATTCATTTGAGACTAGTTATCATTTTAGGATGAGTATATCTTTTATTTTAGTGGTGAGAAGTCTCTGCAATGCATCAAATGAGAGCCTTGCTTGCCTACTAAAAAATATATGGCAGCCAATACATTGGCTAGGGAGAAAGCAGTTAAATCTTCCAGGTTTTGGTCTCCAGCTGAGCCTTATAGGAACATAAAATACCTTACCACACATATGCTGGAATGGGACCTGGGTTGCACTCCAAGCTCTGCAGAAGACATGCTGCACAGTTTATTCTGCAGATGCCCAGGGACTTTGGTTCAGGGAAATACCAGCTCTTGAGTCAGCTTGGCATCTTTAACCACATACCTGGGCACCCACCAGGTGTAATTGCATGTTTATTTAAAAGTGACAATTTTCTGCTTACCAAATGACTACAGCAGGAGACTATCTTTATTTTTTTCTCTGTTACACAAAATTTGATTAAAATTTAGAGTTGGGAAAAGTAGAAGTCACTTTGAAAAGTGGGAACAGTTGGTGGCAGTTGTGCAAGTGTCATCGTTTTGTCCAGCTGCCTCCAGTGTGTGGAGTGAACAGGATCCTGGGTTAGAAATCAGATTTGCAGCCTTTACCCCTGCAAAGCATTAGGCCACATACATAAAAATGGAAATGTTATCAACCTCTGCCTAACTTACATGGATGTAGTGGGGCAAGAATGTAGGGGAGAGGAGGAAAAGAATGATGAAGAAAGAAAAACTTCCTGGTTAAATCTTCTTAAGTAGGTTTTTTGAGACATCGTAAAAATAAAACATTTCTGAAAAAATAAAAACAAAGGCATTTATGAGTCACAGTCCACTGTCACTGAAAGGGTTAGTATTTAGTTGTGTTTTCTGGGTAAGTAGAGAAGAACCCACAAACGAATCAACACCACTAATCTGTTCTGAGATTCTGATAAACAACCCGTTGGCTCTTATGTCCAGTGTAACTGCCTTCTGAATGCCTCTTAAACTAATTTTGGTCAGGCCCAAGGTGGCTAGAGATAGCTCTATTGATCTATGACAATTTGAGCTAGGAAGTGCTGGAAAGCAATATACCTTATCCTTCTAATTTTAGGTTTCATGGAGTGAAAAGCAGCTGTTTATGAGACATCCTACTGAGTTAAAATCTAAAGCCTGTATTGTAGAACTAGAAGCAATTCTGGAAAAGACAAAAGCATTGCATTGTAGCTATTTTTTTCCTAGATGGAAATGTATCTTTTTATTACTCTTGCCAAAGATACTTTACATTTTGTATTTTCATCAAAACTCACATTATTTTGTAGATATTTATATTTAAAATATGTATGTATGTGTAAGAGAACAACAGGGAGAGACAGAGAGAAATTGTGTTTATGGTGGGTTGGAAGAAAAATTGCCTGAATGAAATAGACATTCTGCAATATTATGTAATGATACTTTCCAACTGTCATAATAAGCATTCAACTGTGGCAGCTTTGCCATTGGAAGGAGTGTAGTCCTTCATCAAAATCTGAGCCGCTCAGCAATCCAGATGTGGCATTTGATTCTGGCTAAATGGAATTGTGAGTGTATACAGTGATGAAGAAGAAGTGCTGGCTCAGATCTAATGCTTGTAGAGAATTTGAAAAAGTACTTTTATTTTTATATGTAATTTTATTGCAGCGAAATCATAGTATGTTTGTAGAAAACCATTCTTTTTGGAACATGCATAGTGTTTAAAAGTCAAATAAATAAAGATTAGACAAATGTAATTAAAATTTATTTTACTATAAACTAATTTTACACCTTTGGCAGTAACAGTCAAGAATTTTCTCCATGATTTTGAGAATGAACTTGTGTTGTTTTTATTCTGAAACCAGGTGATCTCACTCATCTTTCATGTGACGATATTGAACAAGTAATGCCAGTATTTTTAAAAATGTTACTTAGAAAAACATTGAAAGTGGTCTTGTTTAAAGCATGTCAGCACTCTTGTAACTTTCATTTCAACAGGATTCATAATTAAAATTATAGAATTCTAATCTCCAAATTTAATATGCTGAGTTTGGGATTTTAGTTTTGTTTTTTTTTTGTTTCTTTGGTATTGTCAAATTTCATAATTGTGTCCATTAAAACATTGAAATATTTATACAACTGTAAGATGTCAAATTATACATGTTTTCTGCACAGAAAATTAATAAACTACAACATGTTCATTATGAAGTCCAAATGTTGAGTTTTTATACTTGATCATTGAGGGTTTCAATTTTACCTAAACATTCAATATGAAGGTTTCAATTGTACCTAAACATTCAATATGTTGTAAATATTTACATGCATATAGTAATCCTGCTTAAAGGAATTTGTTTACTTTTTCAATATACCCCCATCTCCCTTTTTTGAAAGTCTATGAATTACACAAAATAAAGAATAATAGTACAGTAACTCACAGTTCTGTCTGACATTTACATAGATGAGATAGGATCAGTTTGCCATAGATTATCTTAGAGACCTTTGTTCCAGTACCGCCTGCAAACTACCTGTGTGATTTCCTCATCAGAGAAATGTGGACCAGCTTTTTCCATAAGTTCACTCCATTTTGTGTTTCTGTTTTGTCTGGGAACCTATAATTTGACGGTGGACAGGATGAGTAAAAATGCTTCAATGTGCATGACTGTGGTTACTTACAGGCCCTAAGATATACCTAGTAAGGCATATGAAATTGAAAGGTCTTCTTGCATCAGAAGAATGAAAAGATATTTGCTTCAGAGTAGAAGGTATCATACTACTATGTTTCTAAATCTATGTTCTTTATATCAAATTATTATTTCTTATTTTCATATAATCTAAAAATTATTTATGGGTCAAATCAGATGCCACAGTGCTCTACTTTACACAGCTTTTAGAAGTGGTGACTTGTTTACAGGGTTTAAGAAGTTATTTCACTATGTGGTTCTGCATCATTCTCAATCAATTCCTACTGCATAGCAGTCCTTCAAGTGATTTGTTGTCAAAGAATCTGTTTTCCTGAGATGGTGTCTTGCCTCCTGTATTTTGCAAAGCTGTCGGGCATTTTGTAATGGGCATTTCAATAGGTCAAGTTCAAATGCATTTAAAAGGCAAGATTAGCAGTTATGTTCTTGCATTTATTTCCTATGTGCATTATTTGCTTTGTGTCACAGTGGGGTCATGAGTACATGTTTTAACCCCACATGTTTTAATAGCATTACTGTTGTAAAAATATTCATCAGAAGTAGCCAGGGAGGGAAGACCACAGAAGATAATTGGGAAAAAATGTGGGTGGGGGGAGTGTGGTGCACAAATCGAGAACACTTTGATGCAAAGCTCATCCTGAAGATTAAACATTCCTCTAAAATGCCTTCCCTTATTCATTTTGATTACTCTGCTGTCAGGAATGTGTTTGCCACAGCTCAAATATGAAAATGTGTGACGGTAAAATTTTCTCATCAGACTTTTTATTAGGCAATAAAATATACAAGAAATCTTTGTAAGTAGCTTGTGTTGCTGAGGCCCTCTTTGCAGCTTGCCGATAATTGTGTCAAAACTGGGAGATGTAAACGAACATCCAAAACTTGGCTTTGCATTTCAAATATAGACCCAAGGTATTGTGTGACAAATACTTTTTGACTTGGAGTGCTGTTAATTGTGACAGATTTTTCAGCCATCTTACATGGATTTTGACAAGGTGATTTCTGAAATTAAATTTCAGGTTTGTTTTGACAGACGATTTTGTTGAGAGGTTTTGATTAGTAAACAAATTCAGATTTCAAGTTTTTAAAATAGCTGACTCTTTGTCTTGTTTCTTTTATGGTAGTGGTGAGAAGTAGTTACTTATTTATTTTAAATCTCTAATGGGATACTTCGGTGTGGGAGGGAATATTTGGTTTTCCAAAGCAGATGGAAGCAATATGTCAAGCAATGTGTGACAACTGTGTAGGCTTTTTTTTTTTTTTTTTTTTTTTTAGTTGTTGTACTACCCTTTAACCCTATTTGTAACTGGGAGAGTGCTTTGAACTGGATCAGCAGGCAGCAGGGAGATACAGTTATTTTCTGAAGACCTACTGTGTGATTAGTAAACAGCTATAATCTAGAAACCTAATCAGGACTCTCAGGCATGGTTTTGTTTTGTTTTGTTATTTTCCTGTTGTTTTCTAGCCCAGCTATAGACCCCAGAACCCCAAGGCCCTATGCTATACTTTGCATAGTCTGTTTGGGTCTTTGGATTAGCAGAGGCTCTGTTTCTGTTTCCCATTCAGCCCTTGACTTAACCTACTACCTTTGGTTCTGAGTTTTCCTTTGTCTCAGGGTTTAGGGGAGTCATCCAGGCTCTGGCCCTGCCCACCTACAGATCACTGTAGCTGTCCATCACACAAAACAGTTGAGTTTTTTCCCAGTAGTTTTGTTCTATAAAGATACCACATATGCACTGAATTAGTAAGTACAGAGCCATTGCTCCCCGTTAGGTCCTTGTAAGCCTCTGCTCTATTTCTATCGAAGCTCATCTAACACACACATGTTTTCTATAAGGCAAATCACAGCCTTCTTACACTGCGGGGGCCATTTTAAACAGTAAAACCACCAACAAAGAGCACAAACATGCAAAAAACGTGGCACTATATGGACCACAAAAAGAATATTTGAGTATAGTGTAAGAGTTGAAACAATAAGGCCTAATTACCCCTTGTTTGACATCAGCTGGAAACGTGGGCCTCAAGCAATACACATTTTTCATTGCTCTATACACATCTGCAAATGATTCTGAATGTTCAACAAATATTGCTTTGGGGTTACAAAAAAATTAGTAGGTGATTTGCAAATAAGAATTCCATGACTAACTTTCATGGGAATGGAAGACTCTGTGCCCTTTTTTTTTTTTTTTTTTTTTTTTTTTTGCCTTTTACTTAGTCTTTATTCCTCACTTCTGGTTTCAAACTAACTTGGAGTAGGTTTTCTGTAGGGGAGAGAGACGATTCTCCATCTTGGTCTGCTCTTCTCATCCCTTTCCTTCTTTCACCTCAAGAATACTTTTGATTAGGTAGAGTATAATACTTTTATTGACCCAAATTAGTAGATATGGTTATTGTATGTAAGAGATTGTGGATATAGTTGTGTTTAGAGAAAAAGTTACTATCCCAAGCCTGAGACTGCTGTTGGTCTTAGGAAGGGCTGCTTGCAAGGTTGGCCATTAACTGGCATTTGGGAACTTAGATACTAGGTGGGTTCCTTCCACCCTAACTGGCTCAGTGTGACTAAACTTTTGTGCAAACAGTAAAGTTTATACTGAATACTACTGCTTTTCTTCTGGGAGTCTGGAATTTTGACAAGTGCTAGTCAGAGGTGCCTCTCTGATCTCCATGATCAACCCCCAGTAAAAACCTTGGACACTGAGTCTCTAATGAGCTTTTTTTGTAGACCACATTTCACAAAGATCGTCAGGTCATTGCTGGAGGAATTATGTGTGTCTTGTATGACTCTGCTGGGAGAAGACTGTTGGAAGCTTGGGCCTGGTTTCCTCTGGACTTCACCATACATGCCTCTTCCTTTTGCTGATTTTGCTTTGTATTTTTTTTCTTTTTCTTTTTGCTATAATAAATCTTAGCTCTGAGTACAACTATAGGATGAGTTTTATGACTCCTAGAGAATCAACAAACCCAGATCATATTGGGCACCCTTGACACAAACTGTATGCCTCTTAGAACCTTGTTCTGTCACTGTACTTTTTTTTTTTTTAAAGACTTCATCTATTTATTTTTAGGCAGTGGGGAGGGGAGGGAGAAAGAGAGGGAGAGAAACATCAATGTATGGTTGCCTCTCATGAGCCCCCTACTGGGGACCTGGCCCGCAACCCAGGTATGTGCCCTGGCTGGGAATTGAACCAGCGACTCTTTGGTTCAATCCACTGAGCCACACCAGTCAGGGCTCTTAATTTTCTTTTGCGAGCCTGGGAAGGGAATGAATGCAGGCCTTCATCGCATATTCTCTGCTCTCACTTCCATTTTTTTATTCCATGTTGGTGGCTGAACCCTTAAAGTAGGTTCCTGTCTTCTTTGTTTTGTCTCTTTTCTCTCTCTTTTTTTTCTCTGATAGACCCAGGGCAATAAATGCCCAAGATTTGGAGTCATCCTTTACTTACAGTTAATGGTTCAATAGGGGAACAGGTGGACTATTGCTTGAATCTCATTCACCAACCTAGTTTTACCAAAGAATCCCAGACTGGGGTTAGACACTGGTCCAGATACTAAAACCAGTTTTTCCCCTCTTTGGATATTGTTTATGGTACATGCCTCTCGTAGAATACCTGCCACATGAATAATAAAGGGTACTGGACACAAAACAGAGGTAATTGGCAGGGTAGGATTCAAACATGCTTTGACCTTTTTCGTTAAATGTAATTAAAAAAAAACACCCAAACTCGTAATACTCTTCATCTGTTTCTCTCTTTTTTCTGCTCATTGTCATCCTCAACTTGTCTGTTCTTATATTTTCCTTAAGTGGATTGTGGCAAACATGGTCTATTTTGGCAGGATTAGCCATTCTGAGATACTCCTTTTTCTCTTTGTTATCTTTTCTGCATTCTCCAGACCACCTCTTTTCATCAAATCCCATTAATTCCAAATGGAATCTACAGAACAGTTTATATTCCCAGGAAAAAAAATCTTTATTCCATCAGCAGTTCTTCATTACACTTTTGAAAACTACCAGTGCCCAGTTTCCCCACCAATATTTGGCTTATTTCAATAAAGAAGAATCACAGCAGTTTTACAGTCAATACATGGTGGGTTGAT